TTCCAAGTGCACCATGCCTTCCCAGTCCCACCAAACGCAGATCATGGTCTTTTTTGGTTGGAGATCCTGTTTGACTCTCGGCTTCGGCATATGTCCTAGAGCCACCTACTCCTTTCTTTGCTTCATATTCACATAGAGGCACCATTTCTCATCACCCATGACAATTCGGTACAAAAAACGCTGTCGGTGACCGCGAGTAGCTCGATGGCGGGCCAGATGTTGAGCAGCAATTTGAAGGCGATTTTCTTTATTGAAGTCGGTAAGCTCGTGAGGCACCCAAGCTCCAGGTTTTTGCCCAAGCCCAGTGATTGAAAGTGACGGGAGATAATTATAGCACTGGAGTCTATTTTTTCGGCCAATTCACGCGTTGATGGCGACCATCTTCCTTCAAATGTGCTCGCAAATGTTCTTCGTCAAATTCTGTAGGTCGGCCGCAGCGTCATCCAGCTCAAAGTCGCCGTTTTTAAACTTGAAAACCATTTTTGTGCTGTGCGCTCGCCTATAACACCTTCACCATACACGTTGCATATACCCCGAGCGGCTTCAGCTGCTTTTTGACCTTGATGAAAAGCAAAGAAAAGCAGGTGTAAAAAATGCAGATGTTTGCCTTTGGGTAGTTCATTTCTGAGACATAAAAATAATAAAAAAAATATTATCAAAAAAACTAAAAATACAGGTTTGTAGAGCAAATACAGCAGTATCAAATGAGTATATACAATTTATATGCACATGTACAAATCGTTGTAAATCAATGAATATATAAAACCGAACGAACATAATAATATGGTACAACCTCAATTTTCAAATGACAACATTTTATTCTGTTGTCTAATGCTTTGTATGTTTTTATGAAACAGAAAATTAAGAATTATTCTTATTTTTCTGTTCCATAAAAACATACCATATTCAACAATATTGACTTTGCGCTTTTTATAATTATTTTGTGAGTTTGCGTCTACTAAAGGATGACGTCTGCCTTTCTTTTCATCCAATTACATTTTGGTACTAAAATATTTCCTCTCAATATTTCTTGATGACATTTATGAGTGCGTTAACTGCATGTATCTTTTGCTTTATAGCAAATACCGACAGTTTGAACTCATAGATCAGGTTTTTCTATTCGGTTCGAAGTAATTATTAGTACGTTTACAATTTTTACGTTACCGTGGGAAGTACTATTTCTTTGAGCTGTATTTAATTTATAATTATATTACAAATTAGAAAGTGTATCTGTCTGTCTATTTTTTATTTTTACGCGATTAAAAGGTTGAACAAATTTTAATCATTTCGATGTAAAGTTATAATGTATCCTGAGAAGATACATAGGCTATATTCTGTCTAAAAAAGTCTTACAACAGCTACTATTTATTAAGATATTATAAATGCGAAACTTCAGTTCCTCAGTTTGTTTGTTACCTTTTAACGATAAAATGCCTAAACGAATCTTAATTAAATTTAACTTGAAAGTGGTTAGTAAGTAGTTTGGAAGGATGTGAGATGTAATGTAATTTTTTTTATCTAAAAAAAGAGTTGAAGTTGCTGTCCATCAGATAGTAGACATATGCAGACCCAATACTTTATAATTTTTAAATTTTACGAAGTAATAGAACAACCAATAAATTCCTTGAGATACAATCAATCTTCATATCATAATTTCATTAGCCGTTCAGGCGTTTAGTGAGGAAAAGGTAAAAAAGAGTCGGATACACAGAGATAAATACACTTTCGTATTTATACTTGTATGGATCCAATGTTAATGACATTCACTGGTAAAACAGAATAGCACAGAAGAATGAAAGAATGACGATGAAATAAAGCATGTGAATTCAGGAGCAATTATTTACTAATACTAAACTAATATGGTTTCTAGGGATGTCACGTAATGATCTATCTATTCTCCATTACTAAAAATACACTACAACTCCGCTTAACGAGCAAATGTAATAATTATTTGATGTTGCATTGTGATATTACTCGTACCTATTTAAAGATTTGCAAATTTTTATTGCAAATTAAACTTTGATATGATAATTTCACGAACAATTTAACTTGAAATTACGAAAGTCTTCATTATAATACAAACACAAATAAGTACAGTGGTTATCCTTCCTGATATCTTTAATTTATGCGTATTTTGAAAACATTTCGCGAGTACTGTTGTTGTAGCTTCATGCAATCATAAAAGGGTACGGTGAGTACACTTTCGATCTCGTATTGAAATGCATACGAAAGACGGTAATTTTCCGCCGAGTGGTAATATTAATAGCAGCGAGAATCGCGGCCTGAACAATATTTTTTGCATAAAACGGTTTCACATTCGGACGAACCCAACGTTATGAGCTCCCTTCGTATCACTTTGCATGTTTAAATGGTGCCCGCGCAGGTGTACAAATATAATTCCTCCATATTTATTTTACAATCTAAACCTACAATAGGAAATAATAATACTTATTACATTAAAATATATTGTAATTGTTTGAAAACAGTATATATTCAATATAAAGAACATATCACCTGTTAATTCGTTTGCTTTTTACTGAAATAAAACAGATAAAGGCGGGCTATACGCCTTTATCTGTTCCCGTCTTTTTTGTAGTTATTTTTGATTATTATTTTATTTTTGTTATTATTATTAATTGTATCATAATGTTTATCATAAACATTGCATATTGTAACTTTAAGAACAAGCAGCTATGCTTTTACAATATCATCTTATTTTCCATATTGGTATACGTTAATGGAGTAAGTAAAAGTAAGTACTAAAAGTAACATACATTTACTAGGTAATGAAACAATCTATGTTACCAATTCATATTAATAATAATAATAAAATGTTAACAAACCGTCAAAAATGAAGTCATAAAGCTTAAAAACTGTTGGTCAATAAATAAAAGAGACGACGATGCGCCGGAGTCAACGCCAGTCAATACATTCTAATCAGTGATTTATTGCCACTAATCCTCAGCTCAGCACAAATAAGCTATCTTGTCGACTTAATGTTGTATCAGCTCAGGCGTGAAACTCCCGCGCACCACTAAGTGGTCCTTCCAGTTTCCACTTGAAATATTTTAATAAGCCTTCACTGCTCACGCACCCAAATAAAAACACACATACGCACTTGCCAACACGAATATTCTCTTATAAACTTTGACTCGTTCGACTCCAATTTATTTATAATAGTAGCGACACTAAGAATCTACATTTTCGCTCTAAACGGTGTTAATTTATTGACCGTGGGCAGATAATATCACTTTTTTCCTCCCATTATTAAAGCGATTACACAAGAATTATACGTCGAAATCCAGTCCCGACTGTTCGATCAAATTGATATTGATACACTGTTATATATCTTATGTTACTTATAATAAGATACTAATTTGTTTGGGCTGCTTTTATTAGTGGTTAATACTTTCGTTGACGAAATCGCCTTATTGACTCGCTAATAAAAAGTGTAAAGTATGGACAAGTTATGCCACTTGCATTAATTTCGATGCTTAACCTGATAAACAAATTATGGTATATTAAGTTAATAGCTTAATTTATAATTGAATGTATCACGACGCATTTTTATGAAGTCATTGTTATGATCGCTACTTAGCATATCTGGTTGCTAAAGACAAATTAGCTACGATATATAAATAATGAGCTTCCAAATTTTTATTAGGTGTATACAGGTTAGCACTTTATATGCGTTTTTAAATCATCAGACCACATCCAGTTTTACGTGTTTAAAAATTTACTTTGCGATCGAACACCTTTCCTATGGGTAAAGCCGATACATAATATATTCTAGCATTTTGTATTCTGTTTCACGATATAAAATGTGAAAACAGAATATAGGCTATCATTACCGATTGTAGGAAAATAATGTAAAAACCGTTGTTTTATTTCTGTGTACAATTCATCTGTTATCATTGTGTTGGTGAGCTGTGTACCTTTGTGTAGGTATCTATTATAATGACACATGTATGTAATGAGTGAGCACAGATTGAACATTCTGTAATAAGAGGAAATCACACAGAATGTTTCGCTTGCGGCACTCTCATTATGAAAATAAAGTAAAAACTTAATGCTATTTCAACGAGGATAGTCGCGTTAATCTGTTGGTCTTTTGATGACTTTATTTACTCTCTTTATGATTAAAGTTTCATTAGATGTCGATCAACTTTATATTGAGTTAACAATTTTGTATTGATATCGAACAAGAGTATTTTGTTTCATCAAAAATAACAACGTATAATCAACTTTATGATATTTATATGTTTTAAAATAAATAATAGTAACTGAATTTCTGGGTAATAATGCAGAAGCGACATTTAGTACGAAATACTACTTACTACTACTGAGTAATATGAGTAGCGTCGTTCAAGTTACATACTTACTAGAATCTATAACTGGTTGTATAATGCTCAGCTTATAAATATTGTATCCCAGCTTAAATAATTACCAAGATCGACTTTGTACAAAGTTGACTACTGTTATACATGTACATCTATCTCAGCTAAGAAATTTGTTTCATGGGCTGTGGTTTGGTTTGAAGGGTGAGATGCCAGCCAAATTATACAGAATTATGGCTTGACACCTTAGCCATCAGTAACGGCAACTCATGTGGGCATCGCATAACGACGTGCTATTTATGTGTAGGTATTAGCAACGATTGCCATTTTCCAACGGGTGGACCGTCAGTATATTTACCATTACAGAGATGACGGTCTCGATTCACCAACTATTTAACACACCGCCTTACTTCTGATGGTTGGTGGTTTGATGCCAGATACTGTACAAACATTTGTATTCAAGAGTACAATTGTTTGTGTGTTTTATATATATATATATTATGCATGTATTTACAAAGAATGTATGTACTTATATAAGTTATCTACTATCCATAATACAAACTCTGCTTATATAGCCTTGGGACTAGATGAGGCTGTGTGAATTGTCTAGGGTTATTATAATTATTAAAAAAAATACTTCTAACAGTTTTGTAATGTTTTCAGTGCCGGTGTCCCCATCGTCGTCTGGGGGTGGCGGCGCGGGCGCGGGTGGCGGTACTCCCCTGTACCCAGGTGCGACGGCACATCCTTTATCATCTCTGTTGTCACAGCAGAGGTTGTTGGAACTGTCAAGATTCGGCCTCAGACACTATGATATCGCTCATCATGTGCTGTCCCAGCAAGGTGCTGTTACCAAACTTCTTGGTAAGAATTTTTCTCGCATTACTTATCTTTTATTTCGGGAATCGTGCAGTTTTTTTCCTCTTATCGTACTAGTTTATTAATTTGTGTAAAAAATAGTAGCGAAACCGATTTTGTATATTTTGATTTATTTCTTATAAACATAAAAGAGGAAATATTCTAAATAGGTATAGAACAACCAAATGCAGGGCCAAATAAAAATTAGGGTATAATGAATGAATTTCATCTTCTGTGATGATGATGAAGAAGGTTTCATCAAAATATTGACCATGTTTTGATGAAACCCATCTACTATTCATTATATTTTAAAAAGATTTTATACATAATAAAATAAAGTAAAAATGATTGTGAATCCGATTTTCTTTAATAAAATATACACCACGCTAAACTTAGGACAAGGATTGTATGGAAAATGAACTTTAGTGTAATTGGTAACTATTTTGTTCCACTGCAATTAGCACATGTATTATTTAAAGAGAACTCGCTCGGCGGGTAGTCTTTGGTGTTCTATAGATTTATACAACAGTTCTATGTAGTGAGTGTACAGCCTAGCGGTCCGCCATTACCTTCAACTAAGTTATTTGCGATAATTACTTCGTTACTGGCTTTGAATGTTCAATAGATCTACAGCTATGTAGGCTTTGCGTAATTAACCTAAAATGATGACTTATTTTTTTAGGTAGCGAGTTGTATTATTTAATAAGCTTTTACATATGAATAAAAATGTAACACATTATTAGTAACTAGTGACTTCTAAATGGCCACTTTGATAGAGTTTGTTTTATTAAAGCCGCGATGATGACAGGATACTGGCCAGCGAAAGAATAAATTAAACGAGATAAATAGAGATTCTGGGCACTCAGACTTGTTTTACGCAAAAAGTAGATAGGTACCGCTCGATTATCAGACAAATAAATTATATTAAAACATTCATTGACAACTCGGCAATTTGTCGAAAGCGACGCGGCCACGGTCGATACTTAACTCGGCGCTAATAACATGGTTAGTGCAAAAATCTCAATCGTTATTAATCAATGATAAGGCATCAGCGGAGCTCGCCGCGACGAAAGCTGCTATTGACGAAAGCTTAGATCCTAATCGATTCATAAAACTTGCAGCGTGTTAATTATAAGCCACTGTAATGCGGATGAACGCGTCGCCGCAAGCGTCGCAGACCAACAGAATGCTCTCCCAGTGAGATGCTGATGTGAAATGATAGCATCGGTGATTTTTCATAACCACAACCCTTTATTTCACTGTTACCTTTGCGATTAGCTACTGCTGATAAGTTAAGCGTTTGTATCGATTCTTAATAACAAATAGAATTAGTAGACACCAGAAATTTATATTTGATTTGAGTGTGTCTATAACGACAAACAATTATTGTGTAACTGTGTAATAATATCACAGTTGGTTTTAACCGAAGCGTGAGTTCACTGCGACATTGATGTGGACACTTGCCCGGAGGTATTCAGTTGATTTGAAGCATTACTGAGTCGGTGTGTTATTAGGACACATGCTTACTTTGTATTTGCTCAGGAGTCGTGAAGGCAGTATTTCAAAAGCACCGATGCGTTTATTGGTAGGTCTATATAATTTCACGCCGTTTGAACATGAATTTTATTAAAGAAGTTTTAAGTTTAAAGTCAAGATATTGATGTTATATGCGTTTAGTATTTTTTGATATTTCATTTTGTTTTTTATGTTGCTAGTATTTTTTATGTCGTGATATGAAGATATTTGACCTTGTTGAAGCAATTCGTGCGTCATTAATATTTAGGTTGAAAGGTAAGAAAATTGTTGGAAGGTTAAAGTAATTTATGACTTTTGCATAATTTCATTTAACTCCAAGAAACTAGATAATCTTTCATGAAAACATATTGTAACATACATGTTTCCTATTATACACAATAGTATATATTGTTCCATGGCAATAAAAAAGGCAAGCAAGCTAGCGTTATTAATACATTTTTATGTGTTAATATTATTTTAAAGCCTTTGTTGCTGAAATTTTACATACCAACTTGTATATTAGTTGTGATGATGTAATAATGAATACATTGCATTTTTTCATATAGATTACATTAGTGTCTATTGATAGCATAGCTTTTCATAATAAAATAGGTACATCAAAGAGTCGATACAGCAAGCAAACAGTTGTTAATACATACATTTAATATAAAGTGTCAATCAATTTTCGCCCGTAGTGATTTCGTAACGTCACGTGCAAGTTCCCACGGAAGCCTGGCTACGTTCCGCCCAGGGCTGTCATGTTCCAACGCTTACGTGTTTAACATAGGTACACAGCCTTAGCTTAAATGTTATTATCTAGCCTAAACAATTTCCAACCTGATGGCATGGAAATGGGCACGCATAAATAACCTGCCATGGTCAAGTAGGAGAACGTACTAAATTGCGGGTTACACAGTAAACTGATGGATAAATTGCTTTATGACTTTTCTTGTCTCAAGCTATACGATATAAGCTGCTATATAAGAATAGTTTTATATTATTATCCAGTTATTGCTAATTTGTAATAAGGGCGGAAACAATTGTTGTTATTTTGTAAACAACAATTTACAAACGATTGCAAACATAGAACGTAGACTTACAAAATAATATTGTTGCATAAAAATATGGCTTTACCTTGTCTTTTATACTCTTTGCTATTTATTAACTTGTTAAGTTTTGTAGCATTCTTTTTGTACTAGGCTAGCAAATGATTCACAAATAATTCCTGGCCCACAAAGCAACCGAAATCACAGAGTGAGTAATTTTATATTAAACCGGTCATTTTATTTTGATATTACCTAAATTTGGTAGGAGGGTAATGATACCTACTCAAGATGATTGTCCGCGGATCGCCGCTGCCAGTAATGAAGCCGTATTTAGGCTTTGGTCCTATAATCAAAATTGAATTACCAGGGTTGACATTCTTACTGCACGAACGTCGCTTTTTCTTTTTCTGCTCCAATTCACGTACGTTAATTTGAATTTTTAATGATTCTAACTATCGATGGAATGTTATTTTTAGATTAGATTGTTCTACAGATCTATCAATTACGGCATGTAATGATACGGTGGGTGACATTATTATTCCTTTAACATAAGCGCGTGGAATAGGTTCCGTAATAATAATATCATTTACACTAGGTAACACATAATAATCTACTAAGGCCACACAAGAGTAAATGGTATAATAGACTATAAATTAATAGAGTTACCCAATAATATTATATTAGTTCGTCTTTAGTCTAGTTCAGATATATAAATGGAGAAATTGGCTGTTTGACTATAGACAGTAGTGATTGCTGGATTGGATGATTGTCCCTTGAAATGCATTAAGGAATTTCTTTCGTTTTCTCTACTTTAGAAGAGTGAGGTTTCAGATGGTCGAAAAAGCGGCTAGAATCCTCTTTTTCGATTACTTCGATTGATTTCAAGGGACAATATCACCCAATCCAGCAGTCACTACTGTCTAGTCATTTATTGCTTTTTTTGTAATTGCGATGACAAACTCACGGTTTACCTGAGGTAAGGTAGCGGTAACCGTCGCCTATGTAGCTGAATAACCTACGGATATCACGTTATCATGTGACACTTGTCATATCACTCAAGCGTTGCCATTCCAGAGGACCGAGATGTCAATCTTCATATTCTGTAATTACACAACGTAATCAGATTTTACAACCGAAATCAGATTTCACAACGTAATCAGATTTTACAACTGAAATTCTATTACTATTATATGGATTATGAAAATTTTCTAATATAGTACACAACAGTAGTGCACGCATACATTACATGCACATGTACTACTTTAATAATAGCTTAATTAAAGATATAGTGAAGTGAATTTCGGCTAAACAATGATTTTTCTTCTTACAATTTAATAAATATTATATCCACATTTTTTTGTAGACTTAATCATTTGTAGAGCTTTCTTTATATAATGACGGCAACAAAGAAATATGTTCTGACTGATATAAACGGCAGGTATACCCTGTACTACTTTTAATTTATTTGTTTTAATATAAATATATTTATAATAATGTTTAACATGAAACATTGAAGCATTCTACATGAGTCACACTAGCGATGGCAGGGTTGCTTTAGGAGTTTACGTAAAAGGCTAACAAAATTTCTTTTAAGGAAGTAACCGCGAACTGGCTTGTTCAAAATCTATCAATCACTAAATCAGGCGTCGTTAACGCACGCGTTGCATTAAGTTCAATAAATCAGGGGTATCCAGGCCCAAGCCACTTCGCCGCCAAAGATTTTGATCTATTAGGTGCGTGACGAAGCAGTATGTTCCTGAACGGTTAGCGCCAGCTAATATAAAGGGCCACTTTTAATACAAATTTAATTAACTGAATCCAAACCATTCTGTGCCATTTACAAAGATCTTGTCCCTCTTTGTAGACGCACCGTGTAATGACTTTTAAGTGTCCATAAATGAATCTTGTGTGGAAATTTATTAACCGACGTTTTGGGTACGTATTGTGCGCATTATTAACTCTCCTTAACTGTATTGGTGATGATGATTAATGATTATTATTTTTTTGCAAGTATATTTATTTAAAATGAGTTTAAAAAGTGGTTAAAGATTATTTGTTTGTGTGTGACTGTTGTGGATTTGTATTATAATAGTTAGCTTAATATTTGTGAAATTTGCTAGTTTAAACTTATGTGTTTAAACAAATTAGTAAATATTTTATTTAGCATTATACGATTACTTTTATATTTTAACAAACTGTATTAATAAAATGATTAAATATTAAATAAATTTAACAAAAATATGGAGGGCATTTACATTGGTTATTTATGAATAATAGGGATTGTATAGTAATTAATTTTTATTTACATAAATTCATAAATGGTGTAAGATGAAGTTCTCTGATATCACTGTATAACAGGTTATGGTTGAAAGACGATTATAGAAACTCTAATTCTCTATAAAAATCAATTTTATTATACGTATGTTTATTACTCAAAGCGATAGTCAGAGGTCACTATAACTACCTAAAAAATAAATGAAGTCAGATTGGTTTAATTCTTAAGCAATCTACTTATAGCAAAGTCATCAGGGACTTTGCAATAACTTGATTTGAATAGTAGATTGCTTATATCAAATTGAAAAATTCATTGTATAAAACAGTATTACTGGGTATTGACATATATATAATATATATAAATATATACATGTATGCAAACCTACATTTAACGTCCATTAAATAGCATGTGTCAAGTGTTTAAAGAAATCAAATAGTCTCTAGAATGTAAGGACGGATGCAACTGTTTAGAGTCATATAAAATATGACTAGATTATTTTTTTTTATACGAGAGAGTGATGAGATATAAGTACAATACATAAATATCTGAAACTTCCATATATTTTCCGATAACAGTTATTTATGTTAGACAAACACATTTTGTATCACAGAGAGTATAATATGTAGAGAGATTAGAGATTTAAATCATTACTGTCAAAATTATCAGTTACTTTGTTACAAAAACTAATACAAAAATAATATTTACATTAAGACTATATAAATAGTCTTAGTAAGACGTCTATGTAAGTTTTGCGTGCAAAATGTGAAAATATCGCAACACTTATCATTTTTAAGTGAATAGTACTTATTAAGTTGGTGTTGTGTGTGATCGTTTTCTAAGTTGGGAGCAAGAGCGCGCCGGGAGCACACGCGTGCGTTTCACGCAAATAATGTACATTTAACTACTATTTCAGTGGTACCTCACACGATCCGCCTCTGCCTAGGCAACGCCGAGTAATTGGTTGCGGTCATGCGATTACGTTCCTGGCCGATTTAATTATCGCAAAATGATCAGTATGCCGGCCTCCTGCAATTTACCTATCAATCAAACATAGAGCGGCTCGGTTATTGGCGTTTCGAGTCTGTCAAGACAGTAATATGGATTTTCAATCGTCCCAGCAAAACATAGTGTACAGTGAAAGGCACTGTAATAGGCATCGAATTTCGAGCACGTACGTAAACGCCGACGGCCTGTAACGGTTGACATATACCGTAAAATCGTTTCTAATTATCTTCATTCTGCTAAAATACTTTAGTTACGTTTCAATTTTTTACTCAATTTATTTATTGTAACATTTACTAAAGATTACATACTTTACAGTACACTATTATTGGACACAGTACAGTTTACAAATAAAAATCATGCTACACAATGTATAAATCTAAAACTAAAGTTTAATGTGAGTAGTACGTATATTATAATTGTTAGATACTATTTCGTCTATGATCTATTAGGTTGTTTGAAAGATATTCAAGAAATTCATTGTGTGTCATATGGAGCAAAAGTTTGTCGGAGTAATCTGTATCAGATGAGTCAATATATATTTTCGACCTCGCCATTTCGTTAAGAGTTGATAAATAACAATTAATATGTTAATAAAGTCATGAATATTATCGTGTCCTAAATCTTAGCTGAAATAATTATTTATACAAATTAGTGTTCGCGTCTTTTTTACTCACCGTCCTGTAACACGCAACCTTTCAGGAGTTTACTTAGAATTAAAGGTAGTTACGATTCTGCAAAGTTATCTTGACTTAATAAAAAATGAAGATTGCATTTAGGTGGAAATAATATTATAATGATACTGCCCTATTATGGCATCGCAGTTTGCGGGCTACGTGTAAACTTGATGCATTACTTTTTGCACGTCTGCACCATTTTCGGAGTTGAGCTTTAGTTTTATCAAGACATAAAGACCAGTATGAATTTATCGTGGATGGCGTTGATAAAAATGTGAATATAATGTGATGAATAATTCAGCGTGTTATCGGTATGGAGGACGGTTGTCCTCGCGAGGGGTAAAAACAATGCGCGAGCGCCGCCGCCGCACGATGGAATGCTGCGACTGATGCGTTTTTATGTAATTGTTTTCGAGCATGCACCCATCACTTATCTAACTGATTTAGGAATTGTGGAATCCATAATTTTTTATCAATATTTTCGAGTTCATGAACCAATCGATGTATACAGAATTTTAATAAGATTTAATAATTTAATCTTATTAAATAATCTAAATTAAAATATTAATTTTATATGTATTTGGATCTTTTAATTTTTATGAACTTGACACTTAGAAAATTATTAAAGAAAATTTTGAAAACTTTTTCTGTATATTATAAATTAACTATAGAATGCACACTTACTTATAGGAAGAAACGCGCGCCGTTAAATTTCTTCTAATTAGTACTTTACTAATCTGATTAGGCAAATAAATTTGCAAATATTAATTATTTTTCACTAAGAATAAATTTTTTGAATCAAAGTTTAATTATTATTGTTCATATTATTATATTTAAATCTAGAATTATTACAATTTTATCTGCCAGCAAGCTGTTTGAGATTCAAAAAGGGCTAAAGCAAGAATTGTTAGAAATTGAGGTATATGATGTAATAAAAATATATTCATTTGCAATATTTTCAATGTGATTGTAATTTATTTGTAATAAATTTGTGTATATTTTAGTTAATGTTGTTAATTGATAGTAGTTATATTTCGTTTTTGTTTATGACCCAAATTTAAAATTCACGTCTTGCGCTCAAACTCATTAGACAATGTTGACCATTCTGCAATTAATAGTAATTTAATGTCATTGTTATTGTAACTGCCATGTTCGATTATAGGCTTTTTATACGAGAGTGCATATCCAACTTCCTTTTAAATACAACATGTGCAAATGTAGATGGCAATATAAAAAGTCAGTAGTCACTTCTGTTTCGGTGCCGTAGAGACTACAATGCGATTGTAGTGAATTTTGTGGTGAGATTGATTCGCGACAAGTGATTCACGTTTACTCACGTTTTGCGCTCAATGAAATTGGTTCGGCGCTATTGTCGGAATTGTTATTTGTGCCTCTAATTCAATTTTATAATTTTGTTTTTGTTGAAGTCTCATCCAGCAGGTGATTATTTTAACGATTTTATTATTATGTATATTCTGCATCGGAAGGCAAGAAAGTGATCTTTTTGTGATGTAAATTGATATCTGCAAATATGTAAATACTGTGATGCCTTGCCATAATCTCGTGGTTGCCAATTTCAGTACCAACGCTGACATTTTTGTTGCTATATTCGGTAGCAGTATTTATTGTGGATTTTCGAATTTGTGACTATATGCATAGCGATACTACATATATACCAATACCACGAGCGTAATCAGTTGTTCTTTCACATTTCGCTGTCAAAAGTATTATTTTTGACGTATCTAATGCATTTAATTCGTATTGAGAGTAGTAGTAGAGTAATCAGACTTTTCCAGAAAAGAAATTATTATTAAAAATGTAATTACTGAAGTTATTTGAATAAATACAAATATATTATATTTATAGGTACACTTCGACCGCCGGGTCTTATTGGTGGGAGCAAGCCCAAGGTAGCAACTCCAGCCGTTGTATCCAAGATAGAGCAGTACAAAAGAGAAAATCCAACCATTTTCGCATGGGAGATCCGAGAGCGACTCATCTCTGAAGGTAAACAAACAATTATTGTCTCATAGAAACGTAGCTTAAGTTATCAATATTGTATTGTATATAACAAGAATGCCGTGAGGGCTCACGACAAAGCGTGGTCTTGTTGTATACATTCGCCTCGCTCGTTTTGTGTATATTCAGTGTATAAATGTGTATATATACAGAAACTGACTTATTTGAATGTAGAATTATTATTGTTATTTATTTCTGTGTATATGTACCTACATATATTATATAACTATATACAGGTAACTATTTTTAACCACCGACGCAAAAAGAAATACATCTGTGTATCTGAGTGTATGTCTATGTCATGCTCTTAAACGCATGGATCAATTTTGATGTAGATTTGTTGTTTGAATACTGACGTGATTGAAATAGTTCTTACCTACAATTTATTAGAGGTTTTATCCCTGGGTTACATATTTTATATTTTAATTATGGTAACTACTTTATGTGTGTATTCCACACACATAAAGTAGTTACCTAGTTAGTTAGTTATAGATATGTCATTAGAGTTATTTCACTTTTGATTCGACTGGAAAACGTTATGGTACAAATATGCGTGAAAAATCTTTTTCAAAATACAGTCAATGTTACTTGTTGATAATATTGTTTTCCATATACGTCAAACATTATTATAATTTAAGTTTCGTTTGGTCACTCATTAGAAATAAAAAATAATCTCATTCTTATTTCTTATTTCTTAGTTTAGATATCTATTGTATTGGTATCGATATATATTGTTAGATATAATATTAGTATAGATCACTGTTACTGAGTAGTTATTACTAGACAATGATCTAAACAAGAATCTACCCTCAAGTCTAATCGAACACGGTTGTTGTTTCTTTCAATAGAATGGATAGTTACGTAAATTATATTAAAAATAATCAATTAGGATATTTTCATATAACGATATTGTATACAAAGCCCCTAGACTGGTAGCTCTCGCACCTGTTAATTCTTCCACTAAGCGGCTTCTTTGCATGCTATGTTCCGGTTTGAAGGGCAGATATGGCAGTGAAATTCCTGGGTAATGAGGCCTGAGTATGCAGGCATAATATTGTGAATACTTAGTCCTCAAAAATGTCATAGTAACCACTTTTCACCAGGTGAGTCTTATTGTATGTATTTTTATCATAATAATATCATATTTGTTAAGGTAGATTAATTGGAATACAATATATAATATGTAAAAATAGCATTTATAATGTGTACGAGTATATGAAAAAGAAAAGTTTTCTATTGAGTGTTCTACTCGTAAATATCCGGAGCCCTATTAATGATGTTCTTGTGGTAAATATTAATTATAATAAATGAATTATTAGTAAGTATATTTCATACGTATGTAACTATATTCCATATTATACCACCTTCCGTTTGCGACCCATAAAATACTAAACTTATATAATTAAACAACAATATAAAAACAATAACATTTTCACTATAAGGGATTCTAAAAATGATAATCGGTATCTCTTGCTTGAGAGAGCTCGCAGTTTTTGTTTGATATTATCTTTTCAAAAAACCCGGTACATGTTGTCAGGTTTTCCGCAATGTGAACACTGTGGATTGTCTTCGGAAATTGTTTTATAATTTCAATTAATGATTGGAGTAAATAATAATTATTTTACTTGCGCTATGATATTAGTGTGTTTGAGTTTGCGCAGAAATACACTAATGAAGTCAAAATTCTAATAATGTTAATAATTATTGGTTGTATTTAAGATTCATTTACATTTAATTAATAATAAATGCTTTATAATTATACAAATTGTCTGATTCTTAACAAAGAAGAGTTCAGAAGATTGGAGAACCCGCAGGAGGTAGACATTTAGAAAGTTTATTAACATTTTTCAATTTCATTATATCTATAATTGAAACTCATGGTACACATTATATATGACATCTTTTATGCAAATTTGTGTGTTTGTAGTCTATAACAAGTACTGCTCTACAAAAGACATCGAAATCAAAGAATTTTTTTTAATGATAAAGCAATGATGGCAATTAAATAAGCTAGAGATACAAGGATGAGAATTAATTATAGCAACTAGGCTATTGCTGCGCGATGAATTCACCAGGCATAAAATATACCAAGGTTGGCGAGAGAAACTTCTTAGGGATTGATCGGATATTGTGCATTAGGGCCAGCAGTACTCACTAACAATCTTCTCATTTTTCTCAACTAATTAGGTAGATACCTTTAATAGTACCGATTAAAGATATCTAGGGATTGATCGGATCCTACAGTACTCAGTACCTGAATAATATCCAATTAATTTCTTGTTATTTACTTGTTTTGAGTATTGAACGCAATAATACGAGTATGTTGTATCAAATACATTTTCGGGGGTCAATAAGTAAAGCTAGTATTACAATATTTTCCGGTAAAGCCATTGAAATGCAATCCCGTATATGCGTATAGTTTAATAGGTTCTTAAATGGCCGCCCGGCTTAATGGCTACGGATAATGAAATGTAACCCGCGAGTCTAAAAAGACCACTTCAGCAGATTCACCATGAATGGAATCTAAAATTAAGTTCATTTTAATTATTTGATACATATGCAAAACTTAGTTTTCGTTATTTATTGTTAATAATTATTTAATATGTCAAATTAAAGTTCTCGTAACAAAATTCCAGTTAGAGAATTTTGCCTAGAAATACAAAAAATAACTTTTTAAGAAGTAGTACCTTAATCTCACCTATTTCAGCCGACAATCAGCTTGATTTGTACGTTGTGTTTCGGGTTGTAGGATTTAATTAGGCAGTGAAATTACAGGTTTAACAGGCATGAAATCTTAGTACTCTGGATTGGCAATCCAGAAATATTATTACGGGTATGATATCATGATATAAGTATGTCATGATATCATACCATAGCACCATGATACTGTTGGTGTTGTGTTTTTCATATATATCGACGACGGTGGCCTCTTACCATGATCGCTTATCATCAATGAGCCGTCAGATTATTTCCCATTTCAATTACAATAACAAATGTAACCTCTTACAAATCTGTTAAAAAGAACATTTTAGTCCTTTTGATAGACTTCGGAATATATAAGTCGTGTGATGTTTTCATGATGTAAATATTAATAATATGGGTCCATAAAATCCACTCGGCTGATTTTGATAAGATTTCCATAGATTAGCTTAGTCCCCTAAGTACCTACTAGATATATTATAAAGTCAGTATATTAGTAAAACTGTGGTAGATATTTATATGCAAAAAAATATTTAATACCTTAACTGCTTTTACTGTAATACAAAGTAATTATTGTGTTTCAGCCTGAAAGCTAAGATAACAAGTGTAATATCTTATCATAGAAAGATTCAGAAGATATTGCTTGTGATTAATAAAACTACTTTTAAATACAGTATTCTAAGATAAAATACACGCTATGTATTTATAGAACAATAATTTTTGTTTTACTTTTTTTTTATTGTTCGAGAAATAGATTGTATTCATACAATTTGGTAGAAAATTCTATTGATAAAATATATTTTTAATTATTTTGGTCAAAAAGTATAAAATTTATTTTCTTAACTTGTTTTTTTATGCAGTAACAAAATGCTAATTAAACACAATAGAGTATTTACGACTTAAGGAACTAGGTATACAAAGGCATCGGCATTGGCGATTGGTAAATATCCATCTTTCCGCGAAAATGAAACGTCCTTCATTGTTTATTCTTAATTTGTAATGAAATGCTAATTACTTACAATTAGTTAGGTATTTAGAAATAAATATTATACTCATTTTAACTGTTATTATTTATTAAAATTAGGTCAGTAAAAAAGTCGACGTGGGATGTTTTTCACCCCCATTTATCTCTATAAGCAATTAACATTTACTCCCTTTCTATTGTATCATATTTTATTTCTCACGGTCTCACGTTACATATTTGGTCTGCCTTTACCCTGTAACCATATAATTTCTTCCTTAAAACACTTCCTTCCTCTCTGTTCATTACGTGCCCATAATTTGCTGGTTAACTACCTCAGTGGTAAATAAACGTAATAATAGAATTATATAAAGAATATTACTATTATAACTACTATAAAAAGATAGTATAAAACTGTTGTAATAAATAATTGTGTTAAAAGATATTTAAAAGTCCTCCAATTTATTGCATTTGATATCAAAATTTGTGTAGTATTTTAAAAACATTGAAGATTTAATATAGCATTTTCTTTAACATTCGAACGACTTCAATTTTATTAATAGAAATATCTAACAATATATCTGTGTATCCTATGAAGAGTAATTTCAATAAATGTATTATAGAAAAAGAGATTCATCACAGTATTACTTTTCTATCAATTAGTTTGTGAATAGGCAGTAGTCATTGAATGTTCAACGTTCAACGATTCAGTCAAATTAATCATTGCTTCTAATGCAATTAACAAAAGTTAATAGCCATATTCATTAAATGTACTTACATCTGCCATTTGATTAATTCGAACTGATAGTATAACTGGCTGTGGGGGTTTTGTATATTGGCATACTACCATCATATAACCAAGACATACATATACACTCGTAGATATTGGAAAGTACGATGGGCGTCTTACTTAGCTGTTAGGCCAACGAGCCAATTGCGATAATTGCACAAACGACACCTCTCGTGCCCATGCGTGACGTTAAACACCACCATCGCACATACGAAACGGTCCAACCAGCACTTCATGCTACATTCCAACAGCGATTCTAACACATTTGAGTTAAAGCTTAGAACCGTTTGCAATCGAGCATTACAACGTTATTCTAAAATCGGTTTTGCCTTCGTGTTTTCTCTAGTGAGCAGAGTAGTGCGGATCGGAAGGGTGCGTGCGATCGCCTGTTAAACAGGTTTAGCTTAAGACCGTTTCTGGTTTACGATATCACTGAGGACCGGATTAGGAGACGATAACATTCTTGATGGGAAACACTATGCTAAACTGAGTTGTTAAATTGGTTCACAATCATTAAATCCACAGGAGGCAGTATAA